GAGACAGTAACCCCAAACACACCAAGGCTATTAGAGGCTGCAACACCCTTAAAGAGACAGTAACCCCAAACACACCAAGGCTATTAGAGGCTGCAACACCCTTAAAGAGACAGTAACCCCAAACACACCAAGGCTATTAGAGTCTGCAACACCCTTAAAGAGACAGTAACCCCAAACACACCAAGGCTATTAGAGTCTGCAACACCCTTAAAGAGACAGTAACCCCAAACACACCAAGGCTATTAGAGTCTGCAACACCCTTAAAGAGACAGTAACCCCAAACACACCAAGGCTATTAGAGACTGCAACACCCTTAAAGAGACAGTAACCCCAAACACACCAAGGCTATTAGAGGCTGCAACACCCTTAAAGAGACAGTAACCCCAAACACACCAAGGCTATTAGAGTCTGCAACACCCTTAAAGAGACAGTAACCCCAAACACACCAAGGCTATTAGAGGCTGCAACACCCTTAAAGAGACAGTAACCCCAAACACACCAAGGCTATTAGAGTCTGCAACACCCTTAAAGAGACAGTAACCCCAAACACACCAAGGCTATTAGAGGCTGCAACACCCTTAAAGAGACAGTAACCCCAAACACACCAAGGCTATTAGAGGCTGCAACACCCTTAAAGAGACAGTAACCCCAAACACACCAAGGCTATTAGAGTCTGCAACACCCTTAAAGAGACAGTAACCCCAAACACACCAAGGCTATTAGAGGCTGCAACACCCTTAAAGAGACAGTAACCTAGAAATACTTTTAAAGAGACAGCAACCCCAAAACACACTTAAAGAAACAGTAACCACAAAACAGAGGTTCAAGAGTCTGCAACACCCTTGAAAAGACCGTAATCCAGAATCACCCTTAAAGAGACAGTAACCCAAAATCACCCTTAAAGAGACAGTACCACCAAAAACACTAAGGTTACAGGAGTCTGCAACACCCTTAAAGAGACAGCAACCCCAAAACACACTTAAAGAAACAGTAACCACAAAACAGAGGTTCAAGAGTCTGCAACACCCTTAAAGAGACAGCAACCCAAAATCACCCTTAAAGAGACAGTAACCCAAAATCACCCTTAAAGAGACAGTACCACCAAAAACACTAAGGTTACAGGAGTCTGCAACACCCTTAAAGAAACAATAACACCAAAACACTCTTAATTAGACAGTAACCCAAAAACACCCTTAAAGAGACAGTAACCCAAAAAACACTGAGGTTACAAGAGTTTGCAACACCCTTAAAGAGACAGTAACACAGAAACACCCTTGAAGACACAGTAAGACAAAAACACTGAGGTTACAGGAGTCTGCAACACTCTTGAAAAGACAGTAACCCCAAAACACTCTTAAAGAAACAGCAACCCCAAAACACAGCGTTCAGAAGGGTCTGTCACACCCTTAAAGAGACAACAATGCAAAATCACCCTTAAAGAGACAGTAACCCAAAATCACCCTTAAAAAGACAGTAACACCAAAAACTCTGAGGTTACAAGAGTCTGCAACACCCTTGAAGAGACAGTAACCCCAAAACATACTTAAAGAGACAGTAGCCCAAAAACACAGCGTTCAGAGGAGTCTGTAACACCCTTAAAGAGACAACAATGCAAAATCCCCCTTATAAAAAACAGTAACCCAAAAACATTGGGGCATCAATGCTGAAATGACACAGCTCTACATTTGAGTATGAGTAAGCAATGAAGAAACTGGACTTTTTGGGTGAACTGTCCCTTTTAGACTTCATCTATCAACAGTTATAGTGTTAATGCGAGGACAGAGGAGCTGATGACAGGAAACTCTGGATGTTTTCTTCCCTGATTCATCATCGATGAGTTTTTACATCAATGAGCCACAGACCGCACACACCCAGACCACCGCCGAGCGATTCATTAATCACAGCCGCTAATTACATGATGCAGTCAACAGCCCCTCTGCGGCCATGATCAGCACATCATAGAGACCTGAAACTGATGCATGCATGTGACATTTATTAAAACATGAACTGACAGAGAGCGTATATGTTCACGTCATATTAAAACAACTGTTTGTATTTGTTTGAGACATCAACGTGACATGGGAGCGGCCGCTACAGTTAATCCGGTGTGCGTGCGTAGTAGCCTCGGTGTACATACTTGAAACTTTAAACTAGCACACAGTTGGCAGCTTGACATAACGTTTCCATGCAACAAAAACGCGGCTTAGAGAAGCCTTTACGATTAATTAAATGTGACGAATTAAAGCGCAGTTAATAGTGAAATCAGCTGATCGTTGCATCCCTATTAATGATTACTTACGGTGACTCCTGCTCTGCGCAGCCTCTGCTTTGTATTGAACAGACGTCACTTCATAAGTACTGCGGCCGTTTTTCGCCTGAACTAAATTTATTTTTGATGTCTTGGTCACACTATTTGGAGGGTCGGAACAAACTGCCGCCAATTGAATAGCCCTGGTCTAAACACATGCGCTATAGGGGAATTGGATAGGCTTAATTGTCTGTAGTGTATGAGCGTGAATGAGTGTTTCCCAGAGATGGGTTGCAGCTGGAAGGGCATCCGCTGTGTAGAACATATGCTGGATAAGTTGTCGGTTCATTCCGCTGTGGCGACCTCAGATCAATAACGGGACTAAGCCGAAAAGAAAATGAATGAATGAATGTTTGCAGATTGATATTTGTCAGATCCAACAACTCAAATGAGTGTTTCCCAGAGATGGGTTGCGGCTGGAAGGGCATCCGCTGCGTAAAAACTTGCTGGATAAGTTGGCAGTTCATTCCGCTGTGGCGACCCCGGAGTAATAAAGGGACTAAGCCGACAAGAAAATGAATGAATGAATGAATGAATGAATAAATAGCTACTGACCTAATATAAAGCTTGAATTTAAATTAGACGTGATAAGTCTGACCGTAAACCGTGATTATTCTTCAGACTATATAATCGTACAACCAACATCTATCATGTTGCATCACTAAGTGTTATGGAGTTCAAAACACAATATATGACTGTGTCTGAATGTAGAAGACTACTCCAGCAATGCACTGCTTTTATTGTGCGAAATTCAACATTTGAATGTTTGTAAACAAACAAAAAAAGTCAATTGCACAATGCAGTTGTTTTAAAATACAATATATGAACATTTTAATGTAAATAAAGCCAACGTGGGCGTCTTTATGAGCGCTAATACAGCATACGGGCTCTTATATGCAGTTGTGTCATCACTCATATAGCTAGTCATATCTCTCCGGCTTTTCATGAACCGGCCCCCATGCCAAACTAATTGAATAGCCCTGGTTTAGACCAAACCGGAGCACCCGGAGGAAACCCACGCGAACGCAGGGAGAACATGCAAACTCCACACAGATTAAATGCAGATATCACAGTCTCACATCCGAATAAACTCGTCCACACTATTAGGTCAGGGTTAAACTCAGTATCAGCATGTCAGGACGACCTGAAAGTGACGCATCACTGCACGATGTGAACAACACAACACAAGCGCAGCAATGCTTTACATAATAAAAGCCCGCAGGACAATAACCTGAGCTGACTCTGAGATGAAGAAGAGCAGAAGACACGGCCTGTAAAGCACACACTTACGGCAGAGCGATTCATTGAACTAAAACTGAAGACGGGTATTTGGTCAAATAAGCTGAATGACAGCAGAGTACGGCTGTTTGTAAAGTATATACGGCAACCTGCTGTAAAAGAATAAGCTCACAATTGATTCAGGAGAGAATAAAAAGTCTCACAAACAATGCAGAATCGCTTTCTTCAAGGAATTCAGCACAGCTCTAATGTTGATTTACGAAATATGAGGGTACTGGAGCTGACAAGCTTTGGACGACTTATGCATAGCGCAAAAACAATATTTAATGGCCAAACAATTCAAAGCAAAGAGGAACAATGCTCTCCCTGACAGTAGGTGGCGCTTATGGAGAAGCGGAATTTATTTTGCCTTTATTTGGAATAAATAAAAAACATTAACAACCTTATATAACCATTAAAACTCTCCCATGTGTCTGAACTGCTCCAAGCTGAAGGGCGTCCCTGCTGAAAAATCCAGCTTAAACCAGCCTAGGATGGTTGGCTGGTTTTAGCTGGTCAGGCTGGGAGATGACCAGCTAAAATCAGCTTGACCAGCCTAGCCAGGCTGAGAGCCCAGCCAAAACCAGCTATGTCCAGCTTAAACCAGGCTGGTCAAGCTGGTTTTAGCTGGATTAAGCTGGTCATTTTTCAGCCTGACCAGCTAAGACCAGGCTGTAAATGGCTGAAAACCAGCCTGGAAATGGCCAACACCCCTCTAAAACCAGCCTGGTCGACCAGCTAAAACCAGCCAACCAGCCTAGGCTAGTTTAAGCTGGATTTTTCAGCAGGGGTATGAATGCCACCAGATTTTATTGTCATCCATTTTATGCTAATGAGTGCTGTGACCCTCCCACATAACATCTCAACAACCCAAATCCGCACCAAAACCTCCTGAAATCTAGTGAGGTGTTAAATAGAAAGATCTTCAAACGTGAAGTTATGCTATCACTGCACACCCTGCATTTTCCCAAACCTGCCATGTTGAGTGCTACTAACTTAAAATTCAATGTAGCGACCTCTAAAGTATGTGCACTGAGCCCTAATGAGCGTTAATTACAGCGCAGTTACATGTAAACACACTGAAACTGGTGCCGGGACGGGTGAGAGCATGATGGGACAGCTCACACTGATGACGAGCATGATGATGAGGATGAGGATAACAATCCGATATGATGAAGGCCACGGTGTGTGTGTGTGTGTGTGTGTGTTTGTGATGGGTCGGTCAACACAAAACAGTTACACACACGTACACACCTGAACCACATTTAAATCACGAACACATCTCTATGAATAAGCTTTAAATCAGCGCTGGGCTCGGTTATGAGGCGTTCAGCCAATCCGCGCTATTGATTAAAGCAGCGGAAGCCGCACCGCGCGTTATAACGCGGAATGTCGATGTTTCAGGTTGACTTACGTTCTCTGCGTCGCGCTCGTTGACGGTGGGCAATGGCGTTCTGGTCGACATCTTGTGTTTACAGGCCTCGCGCTCCAGCACCGGCGCTCGGTGCAGCACAGCAGCGGACCGGCCTCGCGGAAGATAACGCGGAAGATACGGGATATCTCCGGTGCCCTTCACGCCGGCATCTCTCCGGCCTTCGAGCTACGATGCTGCGGCGGCGGTTTACCGGACTATAACTCGCTCATTATCCGGGAGCGGCGCGTCCGCCGCGGCGAGAGACACTGGAGAAGAGCGGCGGCGCTGCGGATGCGCGGACAGGACGAGTGTGTGTGTGTGTGTGAGTGTGTGAGCGTGTGTGAGCAAGCAAAAGAGAGAGAGATAGCGAGTGTGTTTGTGTGTGTGTGTGGAGATCAGGCTCCTGCATTGATCCACCCTGATAGAGAAACGCACGCAGAGACAGAGATGATGATGAGAACTATAATAATATATACATCCGTTATAAGTTCTATATATATATATATATATATAGGCTATATATTTTTATATATTTGGGCTATATACAATATTTTGGGCTATATATTATATATATGGGCTATGTACTATATATATATATATATATATATATATATATATATATATATATATATATATATATATATATATATATATATATATATATGGGCTATATATTTATATATATATGGGCTATATACTATATTATATGGGCTATGCACTATATATATGGGCTATGTACGATATATATATATATATATATATATATATATATATATATATATATATATATATATATATGGGCTATATATTTTTATATATATGGACTATATACAATATTTTGGGCTATATATTATATTTATATGGGCTATGTACTATATATATGGGCTATATACAATATTTTGGGCTATATATTATATATATATGGGCTATATACTATATTATATGGGCTATGTACTATATATATATATATATATATATATATATATATATATATATATATATATATATATATATATAGGCTATATACAATATTTTGGGCTATATACTATATTATATGGGCTATGTACTATATATTTGGGCTATATATATTATATATAGGCTATGTACTATATATATGGGCTATATACAATATTTTGGGGTATATATTATATATATGGGCTATATACTATATTATTTCGGCTATGTACTATATATATATATATATATATATATATATATATATATATATATATATATATATATATATATATATATATATATATATGGGCTATATATTATGTGTGTGTGTGTGTGTGTGTGTGTGTGTGTGTCTCACGACTAAAACTGTAAATATATTTGAGATTATTAGATTTGTAATATCAGTTGCAGATGCTTTGTCATTATAAGCTTAGTTGTGGTGTGTGTGTGTGTGTGTGTGTGTGTGTGTTGTAATGTTCTCCGGTGTCTCCTAAAATAAACACACTGAATCGGTCTCCGCTCTACGTCTCCACCTAATGGATTTAAGACTGTACTGCGTTCAACATTTCAGCTCTTTAAAAGCTCGAGAGTCATTTTTCGACAGAGAACAAACAGTTAAAGTTGTTAAAAACTGAACGTGTTAAATGTTTTGTTTAAAGTGCTCGCTGTGTGTGCATCTCTGACATTGATCTGTTCGTCAGATGAAGCCGCTGTCTGTGAAGAAGCGTGATTTGGGTGGCCGGCCAAACCATTTCAACATTTGATTCTGCTTATGTTCACACACTGCTGACACACAACAGATTTTTGCACACTAGCTCCCCTTTAAAGTTGTATTATTACATCAAAAACAACGCAAAACGTCTCCATGAAGCCACGCAAGCTCTGTTAAAAGTGAATGTTTATTGCAAAAGCAGAGTATGCGACAGAAGCTTTTGTTCACTATCTTTACCCAGCGTCAGGAAGACCTCTGGATGTTTATAGAAACCCATATGTAACGTTTGAGTAGCAAATACAGGATAAAACACTGAACTCTAAGTAATAAAAACACTATAAATGTATAAAAAAAACAACAAACAAACAAGCATTCAAGGCATTTCCAAGTCGTAACAAACAGCATACTGAAATCAAGACATCCTTCATTTTACAGGCACTTGAATTTTTCACTCATTGTCAACATCAATTATTGAAGAAACACTCCACCTTTCCCCCCAAAATAGCCTATTTTGTGATTTACCTAGAGTTTAATAGTAGATTTTAACCAGTTTTGAACTCATTCAACCAATCGGATTAGACCATTAGCATCTCACTCAAAAATAACCAGAGCTCATCTAGAGTTAAACACATGAGTTTCACCAATTATTGAATCAATTCAGCCGATCTCCAGGTCTGACAGAAGCACTTTTAGCTTAGCTTAGCATAAATCATTGAATCCGATTAGACCATTAGCATCTCACTCAAAAATAACCAAAGAGCTCATCTAGAGTTAAACATGAGTTTCACCAACTATTTAATCAATTCAGCTGATCTCCAGGTCTGACAGAAGTACTTTTAGCTTAGCTTAGCATAAATCATTGAATCCGATTAGACCATTAGCATCTCACTCAAAAATGACCAAAGAGCTCTTCTAGAGTTATACACATGAGTTTCACCATTTATTTAATCGATTTAGCCGATCTCCAGGTCTGACAGGAGCACTTTTAGCTTAGCTTAGCATAGATCATTGAATCGGATTAGACCGTTAGCATCTCACTCAAAAATGACCAGTTGTTATAATCTTCCTATTTAAAGCTTGACTTTTCTCTCAGAAACGTCTCCATGATTGCAAGGCACATTGATTTACATTGACAGAAGTTAGCCTATTATCAAGCTGCTTCAGTCATGCTACGGCAGCTAAGTTGCTTGATTATTACGCCAGGATGAGAGTAAAGTTGCTAGCCATATCAGCCTGGAAAATAGCCACTTTTATTCTCTGTCAAGAGATAATCAATAATCAAGCTTTAAATAAATAGTACAAATAATCAAAACTCTTCTGCTTATTTAAGTGAGATGCTAACGGTCTAATCCGATTCAATGATCTATGCTAAGCTAAGCTAAAAGAGAAGAATAAATTCAGAAATGATCAAACTCAACTATTTAACTCGATTAGTCTTAAATAAAGCTATTTCGCAATAGAAAAGTCTCGTGTTCCTTTAACATGCTTCTCTCAACAGCCGTTTCTAAGAGTACTTCTGAATTATATATATAAAAAAGGCATAAACATCATACAAAAGTCATATAAACAGTACCTTTCTGTACATTGAACAAACAGGACCTTTTAAATAAATTAAGAGGCTCCCGAGACAATCCTTCTACTATATAAAACCTGTCAGTGCACAGTTTGATTATTACAAACGCACTTTATTTACCACATTTCTTCCTCCAGACGTGACACACAGCAAATAACGCTTTTCTGACTAAGAGTCTTGAGTCTTGTTTCTACTCTAAATACCCCAAAATTCTTAAATCAAGAAATAAATATGTATACAAGACAAAAATAGAGTCTTGTTTTCAGAAATAACGAGTCAAAATGAAGTGATTTTTATTAAAACTGGCTCAATAATCTGCCAATGGGGGATGCAGAATAATCTCATTCTTGTTTTACCTCATTGGCAGATTATTGAGCTTGTTTTAACCAGAAACTCACTTCATTTTGACTCATTATATCTGAAAAAACTAAACAAATTTATTTTGCTCGTCTAAAAATGCTTCTTGATTAAAATAAGGTGAATATATTTAGACTAGAGACAAGACAACTGGGTCAGAAACGCATGTTTGCAGTGTAGGGCTGCTTTCTTTGTTCAAGAGCCGACTGTTTGAGGAACCGATACAAAATATAAAAGGAAGATACGGTCATAAAATAATCAAATCAAGTCAATTTCTGCGTTCTTTCGGGACACTGAAGGTTTAAGGTGGCGTTTTCTCCTGAAACGATGGCTTGCGGATGCTGCGAGTGTGTCAGACTTTGCTCTCGGAGGGCAGATCGCTGAGAGCGCTGCAGATCTCGCTGAAGGACAGTCTGTCTTTAGGACTGGCGGCCCAGCAGCGAACCATCAGCTTGAAGACTCGAGACGGACAGCCCTGCGGAGGACACAGCTTCAGCTTCCCGTCCTGCAGAGCTGCACAAACACACACACACACACACACACACACACACACACACACACACACACACACACGGTCAAAATCAACCAAAACACAAGACATTTTACCTGATTAAGATACAGTGCTCTGAAGATTATTTCAATTCAATAGAGCACTTTACAGTTCAATTCTTACTAGTAAACATTGAATTAGAGCACTTTATAGTTCAATTCTTCCTAGTAAACATTGAATTAGTGCACTTTATAGTTCAATTCTTCCTAGTAAACATTGAATTAGAGCACTTTATAGTTCAATTCTTACTAGTAAACATTGAATTAGAGCACTTTATAGTTCAATTCTTACTAGTAAACATTGAATTAGTGCACTTTATAGTTCAATTCTTACTAGTAAACATTAAATTAGAGCACTTTATAGTTCAATTCTTACTAGTAAACATTGAATTAGAGCACTTTATAGTTCAATTCTTCCTAGTAAACATTGAATTAAAACACTTTATAGTTCAATTCTTACTAGTAAACATTGAATTAGAGCACTTTATAGTTCAATTCTTCCTAGTAAACATTGAATTAGAGCACTTTATAGTTCAATTCTTACTAGTAAACATTGAATTAGAGCACTTTATAGTTCAATTCTTCCTAGTAAACATTGAATTAGAGCACTTTATAGTTCAATTCTTACTAGTAAACATTGAATTAGAGCACTTTATAGTTCAATTCTTACTAGTAAACATTGAATTAGAGCACTTTATAGTTCAATTCTTACTAGTAAACATTGAATTAGAGCACTTTATAGTTCAATTCTTACTAGTAAACATTGAATTAGAGCACTTTATCGTTCAATTCTTACTAGTAAACATTGAATTAGAGCACTTTATAGTTCAATTCTTACTAGTAAACATTGAATTAGAGCATTTTATAATCAAATCAAATTCTTAATAGTAAATATTCACTTAGAGCACTCTATAGATCAAATCTAATAAGCAAATATTAAATTACTGTACTCTATATTGATTATACTGTTTGCCGTCTTGGCTTTGCAATCAAAAATATGCGATTAAAATGAAAGTCAATGGGGCAAAAACAGCCCCGAACACAATGAAAGAGTAGTAGATCTGAACCTTACACAAGGGTTATACTCTGTATTATTATCCACCTTAAGAAATGATTGTTTTTGGAAAGTCATAGCATGTTTGGATCCTCTTTCTCACCTTCCAGCA